ATTACATTTTTTCCAAATCAAATTCATCACTGCCAATTAATCTACTCTTGTACTGAATTAACACAGCTAGGGCATTCAATTAAATCCTTGAGAGTATAGTTTTGACTCTTCACAAAAATGACATTTGATTCCTGCGTCTGAAGGGAAATGTTGATTTAACATACATTTGGATCCTGTATTACCCATGAAATTACAAAATCTTAAGGGTCAAATGCATGCACAGTAACACTAGAACAAAAAACACGGTAAAACAGAAAACTATTTAAATCAAACAATGAACAAAACATTGAAAACAATTCATTAAAGCCTCTCTATGTTTTTGTAACATAAAACTTATGACAAAATTACCAAAATATGATAAATGATAGAATAATAACCCTAATGACGATATGATATGAGAATAAATATCATAGTTTTCCATAATTGCAATTAAGACTGGGAAACTCCACTCTGATAACAGGAATCCACATTTGCAGTGCACAGCTAGCTCTATATGTAAATTACCCGCAGAAACTATGTCAAACATGCATGTGCAGATGGGTTTGATTTGAAGAATGACGGACTTGCGATCAAAGCCACAACTCAGACGAACAAAATCGGACGTCCTTATTGATGCTGCGAAGGCAAAGAAAACAGAATGGACACAAGCACAGCATCATCTGCGAATTACATAATCGATGTGGGTCCATTGGACAAAATTAAAGGAAGAAGTTAATGTGAAAAGCCACGATGAATCGGCGGCGACACTTCTGAACATTTGTAAACAAACACCATGTGCGGTTCGCTATTTACTTTCAACTTTCTCTCGTAATAGCGTACGTTTTGTAAACTTTTTAATGAAGCGCACAATTTTGTTGAAGCAATAAGTTTATTATTTTATAATAAACCTTTGTGTCCTGTACTTTACATTGTACAATAACGAATAACTCACCGCCTGCTCAAAACTTCTCTCCCTGTCATCTGTCTTTCTGTTTACCATCACGGGATGTAAAATCGGCGAGCACATATTACGTATTTTTAGATACACAAATTGACCAGGTCTATTTTTAGATATTTCTTACATATTTTACTTATTGATAACTACATAACAGTTCAGGTTTGAGGGAAATTAAAATATGAAAACCCCATTGAGGATGATGAAGTTTTGTTTGAAAAAGTTTTATTTGTACATGCATAAATAAAAACATAGAGAGGCTTTAACAAAATTATATATACTTAGGCCTATGTGTTCCCAATCGTGGTCCTTGAGCTCCACGTCAGTTATTTTAATGGTGTATTTAGAGTTTCAATATACATAACATAAAACTTCAACATATCAGGATAGGCTCACCTACAAAGATCTGACCTCAATGGGGTGCCATGGAAGTAAGTTTAATTAAACAATGAAAATATTGTAATTCATATGGCACTCCAGTTTTTCCTATGCTTGAACAAAATCAATTCACCAGACAAAGATGAAATCTAATTAGTTATTCCCTTTAAAAGTTAATATATCAAGCAAATAAAAGGTTTAAAATGAAAGTTTATGTTTTAATAAATACTTACGTTGTATCATCAGATTGAGAGTACACATTCACCATATCATCTTCGTACCCCATAAATTCCACTGGCCACCTAATATTATTTGGTAACCCTTTGAGTTTCACCCACACATACGTCTGCTTAGTGTTTGCGGCTGCCATGATTGCACTCTGCAACGTCAAAGGTACTGAGATAAGTGAGAGAAGTACAAAGGTGACTTATATATCCTTATTGCCCACCATTTGCATAATTACATTCAAACCTTGTTTCAAACCTTTCTTAATTAACCTAAATTTTGGCCAAACATGCAATAACTGAAGATTCATTAATGATCTTAAAATTTTATATCAGAAAATCTGGCAGACATCACTACAAAAAATAATGTGACTAATTTGTCCATAATTATGTGGTACTATCGAAGGTCCTTTCATGGTCATCAAATTGTACTATATCAGAAAATCTGGCAGAAATCACGACCAAAAATAATGTGACTATTTTGTCCATAATTATGTGGTACTATCGAAGGTCCTTTCGTGGTCATCAAATTGTACTATATCAGAAAATTTGGCAGAAATCACGACCAAAAATAATGTGACTAATTTGTCGATAATTATGTGGTACTATCGAAGGTCCTTTCATGGTCATCATTTTGTACTATATCAGAAAATCTGGCAGAAATCACGACCAACAATAATGTGACTAATTTGTCCATAATTATGTGACACTATTGAAAGTCCTTTCACGATGAATAAATTGAATACAGTACCGGGTACAATTGTACTCGAAAATCTGGCAGAAATCCGACCAAAAATAATGTGACTTATTTGTCTATAATTATACCACTGAACGTTTTTTTCAGTCACTTGAGTCATGAAATATATGGCATATCATAACATTGTATCAGAAATTAAGAGAGAAATTACAGCAAAAAGATAATAAGACTATGTATACTATGTCCATTATTATAATAGGTGACTACATTGAAAAGTCTGTCATGGTCCCAATTTTTTTTCTTTGCATTTTGCGATATATGGCGACTGTTGAACCCTGTTTTTCAAAAAATCAGGCCAAAAATAATGTACACAACTGATATTAATATATATATATAATCACATAACTAATGTGACATTTTTGAAGGTTATACTGGAAAAAAATCAGAAAACTGGACAAATTATAGTAAAAAGTAATGACTTTTACCAATAACCATGTCCATAATATACACATGTACAATTCATAATATTTGCCACTACTATCATTAAATAATAGCACATATGATGATCAGAAAGCCTCTCCCCCCAAGCTAATAACTACCGGTATTGACAATTTCACAAATTTTGAACATTATTATATATAGAAAGAAGCAGTGTTTTTGCTACCTTGAATTTACAGCAACCTATGCCTTATTGAATTAGGAAAATAAAGTAGGATTTTCTGAGAAATTGGGAAAAAACGTCAATTTTAATTATGGAAAACAGCCCTTTTTTCGGCTGTAAAATAGGGCAAACAAAATCACTGATAAGAGACTTTATGCACTTCCTTTACAATGATAGAAAGAACATAGTTTGAAGTTTAAATTCATTTAGACATCTTTCATTGATGTATCTTAATTATACTAGAATGTCTTGAAGCAACTGGAAAATAGATTATATAAGAAGTTATGTAGGGAATAGATTATAAGAAGTTATGTAGGGACAGGGGAATTACCATGCTATAATTAGGTGCAACATAAGTTCATACCTCCAACTCACTTCTTCGGACAATTTCAGCTACAAATCAGCTGCTTTTTGTATAAATATGCACACCAGTCACAACATATACATGTATACTAGTGTGCTTGGAGTTGATATATTATATAAAGTCTCAAATATACAAAAAATAAAAGAGTTCATGAATCCAATCGATACTCACCTTTAAATTAGATAGGAAGGACATCATATATTTATTCAATTTCTCCATCAATGATATTAATAACTTTATATTTGAATCCAAGATTTGTTGAGCAAGTCGAAAATCCAAGGATGGCATTGGAATCAAAGAAATACACACATTTTTTGACATAATCTTCGATGCAATCAAGTCTTTTAAAATAGCAGTAGTTTAGTGCACTGACCAATTCTGAAAGTTTTTGAAACTCGCAATATCCTATACATTGTGTTGGTAGATTCTGTTCCGCCATAACGAATCTATAAAATTGGTAACAATGAGACTAATAAAGGAAGAAGATTTGTTTTCGCCTGTAAACCTCTGAAATTAAACCTAAATAAACAATTTGTGGAAGTAAGTTGTAAGCCTTGTCTGAGAATCCTTGTGCGATCACAATGCAGAGGTGTAAACCTTTTTTAGGACTCTAGCCAAAAGGCCCTAGTTATTCACTAGCCCTATATTAATTAAATTCTGCAAGCACAAAATTTATTGAAAGTATCAATTCAGCTCAGACTGATTGATTGATTGTATTGCTAAAGGTCCCATTGAAAATTACTGATTTACAGCCAACAGCTCAGATACCACAGTATATTACTGTAAGTCAATCACAAATGGACAAATCCATGAAATGCTTTTACTTTAAAATTACAACTTTATTTAAAATTTAATGAAGAATTGCAAGTTTAAATTAATGTCTTTAAATTTCATAAATCTTAAAAAAGAACATGTTTTTCACTGCTCCTTAAAATCAGTCCGTATATTTTTTTCATTATTAGAAAGCCGCCTTAGTATAGAAAGCATAAAAAAACCATGGCGGACAAGCTGGACAGATTGATGCAAATTTTTGGGATGATCTGCACTTTAATTTCTGTACCCCATATGCTTATGTCAAATGAAAGAGAATGATTTCAAATACGTAGGGCCATTTTTGGGTCAGTATTGACTTTCAATGTTATTTATGCTGTGAAAAGTCTATCGTCAGTTCCAGCGTGAATCCATCTGTTTTGTTAGATATTGCCGTAATTTATCTATAGGTTTAAGATGTTAACTGGTCAATATCTTGATGATAAGATTGATTAAAAGAATCTAGGAGTTATAGAGGGCGGAGCTCTCTCACGGGCCCAAAGGGCCCGTGAGAGCAAAGCTCTCCCTATAGGTAACACGTATGTAAAAAAAAATAAAGATTATTCACAATAACTATGGAACTGAAAAAGTTGTCGTAACATGGCCGCCAGTCGCACGCGCTGTAGTCTCCGCCATCTTGATCTCGAAACAAGTTCTCGTTTGCCGAATCTCGAACAAACGTTACATTTTTGTAAGATTTAAAACTTATATCTAACTATAGGATACTTAAATATTTGATACTTTCTGGTTACGGTTATAAATGTAAATTCTCTTGACATAACATTACCGGCTACATTGCTCTCGTTCTGAATGGTCGAAAAAGTATTGTATCGGCAGTGTAGTCTCGTTCAATCAGACGCTCGCAAAGACAAGAAGAAGAAGAGTCTGGTTGAACGAGACTATCACGCAGAGTTACGGTCCTTGAACTCTGGGTAGAGATTGCAGTGGTATATATTTAGAAAACGGAATATTAACAAAACAACTTGCTGGTTGTCAACAAAAAGGGAGTTTATCACAGAGAAGCAAAATGATAGGATAAAAAAACAAACAAGTATTTTTATAGGAATTTTTTAATGATATTTTGCACGAAAAAAATAGACGAAAAAAATTGAATCCATACTTAAGAAGCATCTGCGATTTCGTACTCATATCGGCAGAAAACTGTTGAAATTACGGATGACTGTCATAAACATGTATACAATCTACTAATAGAAACAAAAAACTAGCAACATAAAACTGTATTTTAAAAAAATCAGAACAAACAATTTTTAACAAATTTCTCCCGTCGGAAGTAGCCGTCATATGTTTCCGTTTGTCTATTTTGATTTAGTGTTCAAAGAAAGATAACTCGAATACACTAAAAAGAACTTCTCTACAGTGACCTGCAAGAACAAAAGCTGCATTTGGAATACAAAAAATATCTTTGATCGTCAAATTAATTATCAAAATAAGTTTTTAAATTTCACATTTTTAATTAATTTTTCAAGATGTCAAATTGAACGAAATCATGG